GCAGTATCCCAAGGCCCGCGGCCTGCTCGTTGGTACTGCAGGGGAGCCGTTGAAGCCCAAGGGGGGGCCGCCGGCACCGCCCCTGACACGTGATTTGCGAGGACTGTGTGCCGATCTGACTTGGAAGGGGGAGGGCGGGCTGCCCACACCCGGCGGCGCGCGCGCGTCGCGACTCGCCGTTGCCCCGTCCACTCTACACCCACACCCACACAGACACACACACACACACACACACACACACACGCACACACTCTCACACACACTCATTCACACACACACGCACGCACACGCACACACACACACTCTTAGCATCCACACGCTATATTGCCGCTGTTGGCTCTCGCCCCGTCGCAGGAGGAGGGGCAGCGGGCGTTGCAGGAGCAGGTGGCTGCCCTGGAGGAGAAGGAAGCGGCGCTGCAGCGGCAGCTGCGGGGGGCAGAAATGCGCGCGGCTAAGGCGGATGAGGTGGGCGTGGATGGGAGAAGAGGGCGAGGTGTGTAGGGATGCCCGGTGTGTGAGTCTGTGTGCATCGTAGTTGGTGTAGACGGGCGGGGCCAATGAACGTTGCACGTGTCGATTGGGATGGGCGGGGCCGGCCAGTCCACCCTCGCCGCGCACCCCGCGCCACAAAGCACGCATGCTCCTACCTATTAATATTGTATATACATGCCCAGCGCTATCAACCCCAGCAATATCAAATGCACACACACACACACACACACACACACACACACACACACACACACACACACACACACACACACACGCACGCACGACAATAGCGGCTGAAGGAGTCAAATCAGAAGAGAGAGACTCTTTTCAAACTCGTGGAGAGCATCGAGGCGGCTGTCGCTAATGCGGGAAAGGAAAACGACTTTGCACAGCAGACGATCCGGCGCGAGGCAAGGTCATGGGTGGGAAAGCGACCGCAGCTTCACCACGCCCACCAGCAGCAGCAGCAGCCTCAGCAGCAGGGTGTGCCGCAGCAGGGCGCACCGCAGCAGCAGCAGCAGCAGCAGCAGCAGCAGCAGCAGCAGCAGCAGCAGCAGCAGCAGCAGCAGCAGGGTGTGCGGCAGCAGGACGCGCAGCAGCAGCAGCAGCAGGAGCAGCAGCAGGGTGCGCCGCAGCACGGCCCACCGCAGCAGCAGCAGCAGCGGGCCGCAAATCCAGGAAAGTTTCATGGTGTGAGACAACAAGGTCGTAGGTGGCATGCCTACGTCAGGATCAACATTGGCAATCGTAAGGATGTGGTGGCACTCAGCATGTCTATGGACTCAGAGGTGGAGGCCGCCCGAGCATATGATGTGGTAAAGATCGCGCTCGGCCGGCGCCGCGGAGAACTCAACTTCGACGCCTCCAGCTACAACGATGTGAGCACATTAGCGCAGCAGCATGCATACATGCGTGCACAAGTGTCCAGGCAGCACGCACGCCACTGCCACGCACGGAGTGAAGCACTCAGAGGGCCACACCCACCACCGCTGCAACCGTTGCAGGAGCAGATCCAGTGGGGCGTCGACAGATGCCTGGAGCGCGGGATTCCCGTGTGCCACCGCCTGGCGGCCGCAACGTCAGGGCGCTCGGCGTAAAATTGCCGCCCACCAGTCTGTGTTGTGCGAACCGAGTGTTTGCTGACGTGCCTGCCACTCACCACGGGAGCCCCCCAGCGCCGTTGGCTCCCGTCGCCGCTGCTAAGTGGCCGGTCTCTTTTTCAGTTCATGCACTACATTGGCCCGGTCGTGCCCTCGTATGTTGGTGTTCAAACGAAAGTCGATTTGCAAAGTAAGGTGTGTAAACAGTCTTGTTTGATGCTCTGCTGTCGGCCGCAATAGGACCTGGTGCAGCGGGAAGATGCACGGACCTTCGGCGAGTTCGTCCTCCACGGCTCATAGAGGCCGTGGTATTGTATGATGCCGACGCAGCCGAACCTTCGGATGCACTTGCTTATCTTGGGATTGCGTCCGAGTCGTGGCTGGTTGAATTTTCGAGACCTGTCAGCTTCAAAGCCTCAGACTTGGTCACTTGCATGCAAAGGCGACCCGCGTGCCTCAAAGAATGCAGTCAAAACACTGGCAGGGAATCCCACACCCAAAAACAATTGTTGGCAGCCCTGATGCATGGGGGCGGTTGCTGGGCAGGGCGACATTTGAGCGCGTTGTCTTTGGCCATCACTAGGCGCTGCAATGGCGCAGAGTATAAGGCTTGCTCTGCCGTAGGTGGTGCTGATGAGGTGCTTGAAGCTGGTTTCACATATCGCGCCCTTGCGGCTTGTCCGATTTGTGGCAATCGAGCTGCTGGTGGATAGCTGCTGAGATTCTGCTGCGACACGAGGCAGACTGCAACACTGTGTCTTGCAGGAGGGAGCTGCGGTGGCGCAGCAGAAATCAGAAAGAACCACGTTGTTTTCATGTTTGCGTGGGTGTGGGGCAGCCAGCAGCCCGGCTTTTCGAATGGCGTGCAGTCTGCCGGCCTTGTCGACAAAAGCCTTGCCTGAGGCACCCATACGCTTCCGAGGTTAACAGAGGACACTGCGCCCGCCTTGCTGTTAATCTGTCTCGAACGGGCAACAGAAAGGAGGTAGTCTTTCAAACAGACAAGTTCCACAGAAACAAGTGTAATCAGGCCGCGCTCGACGGCAACGCAACATCGTCGTGATCCAACACAGCCCGCCTGCAGGATGGCCGACCGCATCACGGACGCCATGCAGACGGTCGTAAATATCGCCACCGAGATTGATAGCATCGCGGTAGTCGCCAGCAACGCCGCAGAAGTTCGCGAACAGCGGTCGCGCCAAGAAGCGCTCCAGCAGCGCGTCAACATCGCTCTCCAAGAGATCAGGGCGGCTGTGGCGGCCTTCAAGCCATCAATCGAAGAGCAGGAGGACGTGCAGCTGCCAGAAGACGTGATGAGTGACCTGGCGGCAGCGTTGCACAAGGCGGCGCGGCCGTGCGCGGCACAGCTGCTGGCACAGGCTGCGCTGATCCTGGTCAGCAGCGCGGGGAGCCCCCTCGGCTACCTCGTGCAGGTGCGCGCCGCAGCGAAGGCAGGGGCCGCACGTCGTGGCGCGAGGCTGCGCAGCTTCAGCCCACCTCTGCATCGTTTTGCAGATATTGCCTGTGCGCATGCAGTCGGCCAGCTGACCCTGCGAGCCGCCACCAGAGCCGCCTGCAGGCACAAGCAGCCCCTCCCCCC